TCTCAGGCAATTCACTCACCTCAGCCTCCCAAAGGCGCGGGATTACAGGCTGAGCCACCGAGCCCGGCGTTTTTATTTATTTGAATGGGGGTCTCACTCTGTCACTCAGGCCGGAGAGCAGCGGCACAATCAAGGCTTACCACAGCCTCGACCTCCTGGGCTCAGGCAATCCTCCCACTTCAGCCTCCCAGGTAGCTGGGAAAACAGGCATGCACCACCATGCCCGGCTAATTTCTGGATTTTTTTGATAGAGACAAGGTCTTGCTATGGAATTCCTGGGCCCCAGCCATCGTCCTGCCTCAGCCTCCCAAAGCGCTGAGATCACAGGCGTGAGCCACTGTGCCCTGGCAGGAACACCTATTATTAATTATTACACATCTGCCTTGTGTCCAGGCCCTGCCCTGGGCCCTGGGGGAGTCACAGGGTCCCTGGCCGCAGAGGCTACATCATTTTACAGAGAAACAAAACACAGAATGAGTAATTTCGATGTCACATGACTAAGACTCGGTAGGGGGTGGAGGGGAGGTGGGTGGAGGCACAGGGATCCAGGGAGGTCGTAGGGCTCCAAACCTAGTCTGAGGCATCTTGGCAGGCTTCCTGGAGGAGGTGTACCTCGAAGGATGAAAAGCTCACCAGAGAAACAGGGGTGAGGGAACAGTGTTTCTGGCTGAGGGAACAGCACATGGGAAGGTCCTGGCGCAAGCCGGAAGCTGTCTCTTTGGGCCGACGACGGCAGCAGTTCCTGGGCTGGATCTCCTGGGGTGGGGAGACTCGGGAGCTGGCTCAAGCAGGGATTGTGCGGCTGGGACTAGACATTTGGCTGTTACTCTGTCCGTGGGAGGCTTGGAGGAGGTTTGCCTGGTGGAGGGACTCGCCCGGGCCTCCGTGTGGCAGAGGGAATCTGGGCTAAAAATGGAGGCAGAAAATCCCTGTGGAGGTCGAGACAGGAGGGGCCGTGGCCCGGGTGGGACGGGACAGGGCGGGTGGCTCTGGGAGATGTCTCAGGGGGCAGCGGGGGCTGTGGCGGGGGG